GGTTGCCACCATGACAACTTGAACGTTCAGGAGGGCTGGTCCCTCTCGCACTCCCATTCAGCTCACCTTCCTGGTCTCTGCAAAAGCCAGGACAGTCAATCCAGGCCGTGGCAGACTAGCTTGTACAGACCAGCCCTCTAGTTAAGAACAATCAGGAAAGCGTGTCAAATAGTTTTAAAAATCTGCTTGGAAGAATCAGAGAACTAACATGGCAATGAAGACTTAAGAGACTAAGTTCTTAGACGGAAAGCGTAGAAGCGAGCCTGACAGTTGGCAAAGCTTTTCGCCTTGAGGCATTTACAGATTGGAAAGCTGTGATCTGGAGGTTGAGAAGCTGAGCAACTGAGAAGCTGAGAGAAAAGCTGTGGCTGAGGGACTGTGGATAAAGCGAGTTTGGGGGCAGTCTCATGGGTATAGAGCAGGGGTGGGCAAACTTTTTGACTCGAGGGCCACAATGGGTTCTTAAACTGGACCGGAGGGCCGGAACAAAAGCATGGATGGAGTGTTTGTGTGAACTAATATAAATTCAAAGTAAACATCATTACATAAAAGGGTACGGTCTTTTTTTTTTTTTAGTTTTATTCATTTCAAACGGGCCGGATCCGGCCCGCGGGCCGTAGTTTGCCCACGGCTGGTATAGAGGAACAAAAATGGGAATTCGGGGATCCCAACTAGGAGGGGTTTCTGTAAATACTGCGAAGCTTCCCATCAGGACTCCTGAGGAGTTATACTCTAGGTTAAGAACCAAAATAGATCAGTCTTTTAAAGCAAACCCAGCTTTCCAGCAGCTGTATCTCAGATTACATTGAGATGATCTGTTCTTACCCTAATTGCATGCCAGAAGTAAGTAAAGCATTTCTGGAGGAAGATAACATCATGCTGCATAAAACAGTAACCGTGTAATTCCTTCTTGCATTCTTTCTGAGATGGTTTTTCTCCTTCCAGGAGTACCATTTATCAAAGTCCTTTTAGTGAGAGCTTGTTGATAATGTTTTTAACTGAATTTTAAAAATGGGAAAAAGACATGAACAGACACCTCCCCAAAGAAGATATACAGATAGCAAATAAGCATATGAAAAGCTGCTCCACATCATATGTCATTATGGAACTGCAAATTAAAACAATGAGATATTGCTCACCACACACCTATTAGAGTGGCCAAAATCCAAAACACTGACAACACCAAGTGTTAGCAAGGAGGTAGAGCAACAGGAACTCTCATGCATTGCTGGTGAGAATGCCAAATGGTAGAGCCACTTTGGAAGACAGTTTAGTTTGTCAGTTTCTTAGAAAAATGAAACATACCCTTAACATTTCAACAATCAATAAGCTGATAACTTATATGCACACAAAAACCTGCACATGGATGTTTATAGCTCCTTTATTTATAATTGCCAAAACATGGAAACAGCCGTGATGTCCTTCAGCAGGTGAGTGGACAAATAAATTGTGATACATCCACAATAGAATATTATTCAGTGCTAGAAAGAAATGAGCTATCAAGCCATGAAAATGGAGGAATCTTAAATGCATGTTACTAAGTGAAGGAACCAATATGAAAAGGCTACATTCTGCATGATTCCAATGATATGATATTTGGAGAAGGCAAAACTATGAAGATAGTAAAAACATTAGTGATGTCCAGGGAGGAGAGAGGAGGGAGGAATAAATAGGTGGAACACAGAGGGGTTTTAGGGCAGTGAAACTATTCTGTATGATACCATAATGGCAGAGACATGTCATTATATATTTTCCAAAGCCCATAGAATGTACAACACTAGGAGTGAACCCTAATGTGATAATGATGTGTCAATGTAGGTCCATGGATTACAACACATGTCCCACCTTAATGCAGGGTGTTGATCATGAGGGAGGCTGTGTGTGTAGGGGCAGGAGGTATCTGGGAAATCTCTGTACTTTCTGCTCAGTTTTGCGTGAACCTAAAACTGCTCTAAAAATAAAGTCTATTTTTAAAATATATTTTATTGATTTCTTTTACAGAGAGGAAGGGAGAGAGATAGAGGGTTAGAAACATAAATGAGAAACATCGATCAGCTGCCTCCTGCACACCACCTACTGGGGATGTGCCCGCAACCAAGGTACACGCCCCTGATCAGGAATCAAACCTGGGACCCTTCAGTCTGCAGGCCGACGCTCTATCCACTGAGCCAAACCAGTCAGGGCTGAAGTCTATTTTTTAAAAAAATGCTTTTAGTTCATCTTTATTTTTGAAAGAAATGTTCACTCTTCACAGAATGCTAAGTTAGCCATTTCCCCCCCTCAACCTTGAGATAACATTCTGCTGTCACCAGTCTTCTGTGTTTTGCTGTTGAGACCTCAGCTCTCAGTCTTATTGTATTTCCTTTGTAGGCAATCTATCTCTTCTGGCTGCTCTTAAGGTTATTTTCTATGGCCCACAGGGGAGTGAAGCTGCTGGGTCTAGGGTTGGGCACTTACCAGGGTGCCATGGGGTGTACCTGCCCTGCCTCAGAGGTCCTGCAGAGGCGACCTGGTGTGACTGTCCGGGCTGCACTCTGTCAGAAAACCCTGGGCCTCCTGAGCTGGTTTTCCACACCTGTGTCAGCACTTTTTCATTAAAAAATAATTTTTTTTTTATTGATTTCAGAAGAGGAAGGGAGAGGGAGAGAGAGATAGAAACATCAATGGAGAGAGAATCATTGATTGGCTGCCTCCTGCACATCCCCCACTGGGGATCAAGTCCGCAACCCGGGCATGTGCCCTGACCAGGAATTGAACCATGACCTACTGGTCCATAGGTCGGTGCTCAACCACTGAGGCACACTGGCCTGGCAGCACTTTGTTTTCAGATGTACAACCTGCTCTTTCTAACTTCTGTGTGTTCCTAAAATAGAGAAGAAGGAGACATGTGACCTGTCTGCTCCTCATGCAGGTGGACACCTGTGTCATTCCAAGTGCCTGAGGAAATGTTTCCTGTTAGTGCATATTATGGATGGAATTGTATTCTCCCCAAATTCATGTGTTGAAGCCCTAGCCCTCAGTACCTCAGAATGTTGACTGTATTTGGAAATAGGGCTTTTAAAGAGGTAAGTGACAATGTGGTCTCTAGGCTGGGCCCTAATCCAATCTGACTGGTGTCCTTATGAGAAGGGGAGATTAATCCATGTAGAGAGATTCCAGGGATGCGCACACACAGAAGGAAGACCATGTGAGTACACAGGGACGAGGCAGCCATCTGTCAGCCAAGGAGAGAGGTGCAGAGGAAACCAACGCTGCCAGAACCGTGAGAAAATAAAGCTCTGTTGTTAAAGCCACCCAATCTGTGGGTTTGTCATGGCAGATTACCAAGTGAATACAGTGTGAACTGAACTTCAACCCCGCTAGATTGTCAGCAAAGCAGAACTGGACTGGGCTGGGGGAAATTCGTCCTCGAAGGCCCTGCAGGTTTTGCGGTTTTACAATAGAGGTGAGGGATGGGGTCTTCCCGCGTGAAAGTGGCCAAGTCAGATAGCTCCATCTCAGTGTTTGTTCAGATTTCAGAGGCACCTGAGCCATTTCCTCCTGGTGCATGTTTGCCAGGGCTTGGCTGACCTGGTCTAGGAGCAAATCTTACATTGTAGTGGGAGGAAGGAAGGGAATGAGGCCATTTCCAGGCTTTGAGCATTGATTCCTCTGCTCAGAGGTAGCTAGTCCCATGGAATTTTTTGGCTTCTGTACTTGACTCTGGGAAAAATTGTTTGGAGGAAGATTGCTTCACAAGCACTTGCTCAGGTTGTCTGAGCATCATAAGACGGAAACATCCTGGATTGCAGAGCCAACATGTGAACAGCTGCTCTGAAGGGTTGCTCAGGACCACACCACAGTAGACTCTGTGTGACTAAGAAACAAACTTTGGTTGTGTCCCCCACCACTAGGATTCAGGGATGTCTGTTATTGCAGCATCACCTGGACTATTCAGACTGATACATGTACAGAGATGTATACGATGTACCTGGAAACACTGCAATATAAAAACAAGAACTCCGACAGAGAAATGTTCAAAGTAATGCAGGACACTGAGAAGGGAGCAACTAATACTGCTAGGCTAGGCAGGGAAGGAATCAAGAAGGAAGCATTTGAGCTGGACTGTGAGAGCTCAGGGAGAGGAATGAATGAAAACATCTAGGGGACAATTCCATGTTCCCTGTGTGGGGAAAGACTGATGTACTGAGTCAGTGTGGGCAAAGGCACACAGGTGTGAAAATTCTTGGGGCGTTACGGGAAGAATTAGACCTAGCACTTCCTCTAGAACAGCGGTTCTCAACCTGTGGGTCTCGACCCCTTTGGCAGTCCAACGACCCTTTCACAGGGGTTGCCTAAGACCATCCTGCATATCAGATATTTACATTACAATTCATAACAGTAGCAACATTACAGTTATGAAGTAGCAACGAAAATAATTTTGTGGTTGGGTCACAACATGAGGAACTGTATTTAAACGGCCAGAAGGTTGAGAACCACTGCTCTAGAATGTCTCCCTAATGAATGTTTTCTGCATAAAACATTTCTTCATGGAACATATATATCTTTCAATACATTGCTTGTCTACCAGTATTTATATAGGGAAATATTATATGTATGTCCCCAAACTTGATGCATTTTTAACAAAGTGATGGGAGGGAACTCAGCAGAGAAAATTGGTAGGTTCACTCCAAATATAATTGGAAACATAGAAAAGATCATAGAAGACAATTAGAAAGGCTCTGAAGGTCAACTAAGGGGATATGTAGCATGTTATACAGACAGAGCAGCCATGTTGATGGATTAGTGATCAGAGAGTACTGCTTTAAATATTTTACATCCTTATTTTATCACAGTTTATGGAATTAATAAATAAATAAATAACCCCCCCCCCCCAAAATTTTACAACCTAACATGTTAGCGTCCATGCAGGCCCTCCCTCCACACTCAGCCTGTTCTCACACAGTCTGCACTCACTTCAAGAATAAGACAAAGGCCAACAACAAATTGAACCAGAGTTGTCTATTTTTGTTTTATTGGAACACAGCCTGACATGAAATAAATAGTAATTTTCCAAATTCTTAACCATTTCATAAATAACATTAAGTTAACAGACATTTTACAGAATGTTGCATTAAATAAGATAAAAAGTATACATCCATTTTGTTTGGAGCGAACTGGAGGAAAATACTTCCCTGACTCCTGTATCTGGACTATATCTAGAACATTTTGTTTAGATGCTTTCTGCCTAGATGAGGTAGTGAAGCAGCAGTATGCCTGAAATGCTGCTACTTTGCCTCAGAAGCTTAATTAAACTGAAGAGGAAGGCCCTGCCCTTGATTGGCCCTCATTCTCGTGGCAATAAAACATCCTTTATCGCTACAACAAGCCAGTTGAGTCTCAACTTTCCATTGTCCACTCAGTGTTTATCACGCCAAGAAATACTTGCAGGTAGTCTAGGAACTTTTTTACTCTCAATCGTTCCCCTTCACACTTTTTCTGTGAAAAAGAACAGACAAGAGGTATTGTAGGAACCTGTCAATTCCTGTAAAAATAGGCACAGCCAGACAAACATGCTTAAGTTTCCACTAAATGTTTTTTACTTACTTTTTCGCCATCTATGTAGTCTTTTATTGAAGACAAGTTCTGGAAGAGTTTTTCCACGGCATCCCCTTCTGCAGTTTGATTCCTCAATGTGTCTACCCCCTGAAAGACTTCTTTAATGCATAGTTGGTACTAAATGAGGAAGATTTTAAAAAATATAAGTAATCCAATCAGGATCTAAAACATTGGTCCAAAAAGCTAGACTTTGTTTTGTGGTGTTTACACGAGTTTCCTTTTCCAAAGAGTTTTTCCTTGTTCCTTTTCTAGGTGGAACCAATTGATATTGGGACATAATTTCTAAAAGTAGGTGAGGTTTATTTAATTACTGAGGAATTTTACAAGTGATATAAAGTAAGTACTTAACCAAAAATACAATATTTAAGAAGAAGAATGATTGACCTCGTGTCAGAGTTTCCTTTCATAGTTCTAGTTGGTAATTTTGTTCTATTCAGACTAATGAAATTATCTATTTTACATTTTAGTATGACCATGACATACTCCAAATGCATACAATTCTGTTACATGTCATGATCACTTTAAAATGTGGAAATGACTGTTAATATAGATCATTCACTGTATATTGTAATGTGTACTGACTAAGATTCTAAAAGTATTGCCCTAAGTTGCTAATACTTTCAAAAAGATATTAAAGTGAGGAAAGCAGTAGATTGTCAGAGTTGAAAGGAGATGAGGAGGCACCTCTTAACCTGACAACATCCCCAAAGGGCCTTGTTTAATGGATTCTACTAGTTATAAAGTCATTCCTAGTATTTATAAGTACACACATTCACATCACACACAAAAAAAACAAAACATAGAACATAAATAGTTCCAATGATAACTATGGCTTTATAGCCTAAAATATGCAATTCACTTATTCATGCTATCATAATTTAACTTACATTTGTATGTCCTGGAGTAGGAATCATCAGGTTCTGAAAAGGAAAGGAAATACATTCATTTGTAAAGCACTCTACCATTCACCACTTAATAAAATGATTGTGAAATGGTTACCAATCATCTATTGCTAACACTCATAATTTCATTAACAGATCTTTAAAAGTTAACCGCACGAATGATTACCGATGCCTTATAAAGACTGTAGGACTCAAAAAGAAAATTACCCCTTCGCCTATCAGCAGAGTCCGATGAGTGGAGAGCAGTGTCAAGGTCTCTGCCACCAGTCTCTTCAAGGGACTTTCTAAGGCAATGGCACCAACGTCGGCAGCTCCGAGAGCCAGGAAAGTCAAAAGCAGAAGCATTCTCGTGGCTCTGAAATGTTCAGCGATTGCCTTTGGCAAAGAAAGTGCATTGTACAAGATTGTATCCCCAACCAATTTATTCTCTCTCTTTGAGGAAATGAATAATTTCCAACAATCAGATAGAGACTGTCTAATAATGGCATGTTGTGAAACCAATGTTTCCAATGCCTTGTGTCTTAAAAAAACAAGTTTACTTTTATCTTTTAATAATAAAAATCCCTGTTTTTCCCCCTTCAAAAACATTTTCTAGTATAAAAGAAAACCTCTGGGTTGATACATCACTGCCCCACATTTGCATTTCTTAAACACTGATGATCGAATTTCCTCTTAAAAGATATACATAAAAAAAAGAGAAGTATGACGTAAACCACGAGATCGAATTTTAGGCTAAAATACACAAATATTGGGAACTGTCTTTCCCCCTCCCCTGCCGAGGTCTACTGAATTCTATCACAGTTGTTGCTAGATTGACTTGCCTTACACGGAATTGAAAATACGGGTGGGAAGATGGTGATTAGGGCAGAGATCATCAAAACGGAGCTGGCTCAAGTTGTGTTCACTGGGGTGCTGGTGAGGATCCTTTGTGTCGCTAGTGACCAAAAACCAAACCCAAACCGGCTGAAGCCAACAAGGAATTTATTAGCTCGTATCACCAAATGGTCCAGTGTGGAGGCACCTTTATGTTCTGCTTGCCTCAGTGGCTCTTCTTGACTCCCTTCTCAGACAGCTCTCCCACTGTGGTCCCAAGACGAAGTCAGAACTCCCGGATCTATGTGAATCCTGTTCTTGAGAAGCAGGAGAAAGCAAATTGTGCTTTTCTGATTGCTCAGTCCAAAGTTTTAGCATTCAGTCTCCTTGTGACAAGGGAGCACATACATGTTCACCCTTGGACGGTGGCCAGGGGTACGGGATATACTGATTGTCTCTCTCTGGAACTGGAGGTGGGCTTCATCCCACCCAAATGGCACACCTAAGAAATTGGGGGTCCTGGGTAGTAGTAAGAGGGATGTGGATGCTGGGAAGTTAACCAGTAAGTATCCATCACAACCACATAATATACAGGCATGGCCTCTCCTTCACGTCCGACAGGGTGGGGATGTCCTTTCGCACCCTGGGTGGGCCAGGTCTGATCAGAGGACTCAGCTGTTGTGTTCCTAGGGCTCAGACCTGTAATCCCAGAAGGGAGCTTATGAGGCCTCCTACTCAACCACACACTTCCTTCCTCCCAGGCACACATAATGGAGCTGTAAGCCACTTGCTTTCAATGGAGGTTTTCAGTCAGTGTCCCAGAGTGGGTCTGTGTTGGTGCCTGGAAGCCTGACTTTAGAATGAACCATCTTGAGCATCTAGGGCAGATGGTACCAAACGCAAATGGCTGTGTAGAACCCTTTCCCAAAGCTGGATAGAGTTCTGTAGGAAAAACAGAGGCAGCTGGGGGGTAGACAAGCCTTTTACATGCATATAATCAGAGCTCTGCCCAGGTAGGTTAAAAGTGGTGTCGGACTTCGGGGGCAGCTTTCTGTAGCATGTGTGGTTTTGTTTGTGCGGAAGTTTGGGACTCTTGGCTAGACTCGTCTGATCTGAACACTTGAAAGGCCTTGGGGTATGGTAGCTGCAGCATGTATGACCTGTCTACAGGTGGCAGGTGCTACACAGCTCCAGCTGATTGATGCCATGTGACACCCAAGGCCTTATGTTGCCAGATCATCAACTTTTTCAAAAAAGCCAGAAATCCTGATTATTATGTATAATCTCTTGATTTTTAAATGTTGGCAAGTCATATTTTCAAAAACCATTAAGTGTGTCATTTTTCAGCCTCTGACTTACAGTATAGTTGTGGATCCCTATTGGAGGGCTAGTTGTTATTATTTTGTTAATCCTCACCCAAGGATGTTTTTCCATTGATTTTTTAAAAAATATTTCTATTGATTTCAGAGAGGAAGGGAGAGGGAGAGAGAGAGAGAAACATCAATGATGAGAGAGAATCATTGACCACCTGCCTCCTGCATGCCCACACTGAATGATGAGAAATCATTGACCACCTGCCTCCTGCATGCCCACACTGAGTATTAGGCCAGCAACTTGATCTCTTCAACTTGATCTCTTCATTATCAAGGACCAGCCTATTGTAGGCACTCAATTAATGCTTGTTGAATAAATAATGTGCCCTGATTGAACCCTGACCTCTTGGTTCATAGGTCAACACTCAACCACTGAGCCATGCCAGTTGGGCTCCACTGACTTTTAGAGAGAGTGGCAGGGAGGGGGAGAGGCAGTCAGGGCATGAATGGAAGGCAACCCATCGATGTTTCTCCCTCACATCAATGTTTCTCTTCCCCCCCCCCCCCCATCAATAATCATATTCTTGGGTGAAGATTAAAAAAATAACATTGCATGTTGAAAAAAGTTAATAATTGTCTTTTACTATTATTATGAAAGAGACTTTGTATCCCATAAATGTCATAGACTTGGGACCTTTGCCTTCACCACTAGATTGTGAGCTCCTTAAGAATAGGGATTTTAGCCCTAATCGGTTTGGCTCAGTGGATAGAGCATCGGCCTGCGGACTGAAGGTTCCCAGGTTCGATTCCAGTCAAGGGCATGTACCTTGGTTGTGGGCACATCCCCAGTAGGAGGTGTGCAGGAGGCAGCTGATCGATGTTTCTAACTCTCTATTCCTCTCCCTTCCTCTCTGTAAAAAATCAATAAAATATATTTAAAAAAAAAAGAATAAGGATTTTATTTGATTGATCTCTTCATTGTCAAGGACCAGCCTATTGTAGGCACTCAATTAATGCTTGTTGAATAAATAACTGAATGAATAAGCAGGCACTTGGTTGTATTAGTTGAACAAATTAATATGTATACTGTGGAAATTCAAGGAGTCTGAAGGTCTCCTAATGAAAAGATAGAGCAAAACTTTAAGGTTAAGCTAGAGACCAAGCCAATATGAACTACCATGGCATTAAAAAAAATCCACATTATTTTAGGAGAACAGAAAGAAATTAGCAACCAGTATGCAGAATTAAGAATTATGAGTAATTATATCATTTAGAAAAAAAGATGTTGAATAGTGTTGAAAAGGTGTATTAGTAACATCCATCCTTTTGCCCTAAAACCTTCCAAATTGGCAACCTATTTTTTAAAATTGATACCTGTGGTTTTTACTAACTGTGTAGTCACTTAAGGTTAAATGACTTTTCTATGAACTGATTTTAATCAACCTACTGGGCATGATGCCACAAAATTTTCTTGGTGACTAAATGTAAAATGATAGTATCTCTTTCTTCTTTTTATTTTAATCTAACCTCCATCTTTTCAATCCTCAAGCATATGTTTAAAATAAATTTTTATTGAATAAATAACATTAGAGGAAAATAACACAGAACTTCTTCCTCTTGACCTAGCAACTTTCAGTGTTTTTGATGACTTCTTCCAATCTTTACTAACACATAGATAGCTTTACAGAGTTGTAAACCAATGAATATATGCAATCTGTGTTTATGTTTTTTTGCTTAATTCTTCACGTATCTATTTGTTTATTTTAAAGGTTACCTGCTATTAGATGAAACTGATGTATCATAATTTACATCACCATTTGGGTTGTTTCCAGCATTCCACAATTTTATCATTTCTAAAATACTGTATAATTTCTAAATATTTCCTTATGCTAAGGAACTTGTGTAATAATTTTTTAGTTTTTGTTACATTTTACCAGATCACTGCTCTGAAAATATTCAATGCACAAAAAATAAATCTCTTATATTTTAACAGTGTTTTGCAACTTATAAAGTACTTTCTAAAAAGTCCATTGTATCATTTCTAAAATATATCCTTATGTTAAGGAAGTTGTGTGATCAATTTTTTAGCTTTTATTACATTTTATAAGATCACTCCTCTGAAAATATTCAATGCACAAAAAATAAATCTCATATTTTTACAGTGTTTTGCAACTTATAATGCACTTTCAAAAAATAACTTTGTTTAATCCTGATATCAGCACTGTGGGATAGATTTCTTTCCCTGAAGTCTCTTTAGCAATAGTGTTTAATAGTTTTGCTAATGGAATGAGTGAAATGAACCCAGAAGGAAGGTATGATGCCAGAAGCGGTGATAATCAAAGAGATTGACAAATAAGTTGGTAAACCTAAATAAATAATGCTGGTTAAAAACAATTTATTTAGGGGTTTTCAAGGCAATGAGGAACAGACACTAAACAATGATCATGTAGGAGATAGAAAGAGTGATCAGAGTTGGTGCATTTTATGGTCTTGTATTGTTTGGGAGGATGCTAAAGATACTAACTTTAGACATCAAAATAGGCATGTAAAGTTTTTAAGAGTAGCCGCTAAAATAACAGAAATTGAGTGTATAAGTCCCAAACCAGTGGACTAAACCATGGGAATAAAGGAAGCTTAATCAATCCAGAAACTAGGAAAGGAGAAAAAGTAAAGAAAAAGATATGAGAAATATATCCAAATTTATCAGAAACGATAGTAATTGAAAAATAGATTAAACTCACCTATTAAAAGGAAGATACTATAAAATTATATTAAAATCATTTCAGCTATTTTCAAGAGATACACTTCATGAAAAATGACATTAAAAGGTTGAAAATCATGCCAGGCTGGTGTGGCTCAGTGGTTGCGCATCGACCTATGAACCAGGAGGGACATATGTCCTGGTTTCGGGCTCAATCCCCCTGTGGGGTGTGCAAGAGGCAGCCGATCAATGATTCTTTCTCATCATTGATGTTTCTATCTCTCTCTCCCTCTTCCTTCCTCTCTGAAATCAATAAAAAAATATTTTTTTTAAAAGGTTGAAAATCAAGGGATAAAAAATAGACTGATCAAATACTAATAAAAATAAAGCTGATACATTAATACCAACACTAGAAAAATAATTTATATGAGAAAGTATTATAAGGATAAAGAGATTCACTAGCTGGTATAAGATAATATCTCATGGTAGTTTAATTTCCATTTCATTGAGTATGCTATAAGTGAAACCAAACATTTTTCAATAGTTTACTGAGAACTGGGAACCTGACTGACTTGCCTTTTTAGTTATTTTTATTTTAAGGAGTAATCATTTTTATTGCAAATCTTTTCCACCTTCCTCCTAGAGTTATCTTAGTTTTAGAGTTTCCTATTGTTACAAAGTTGAAAATTTTGGTAATGGAATTTACCTTCTCATATCCATTTTTTTCCCTTTAACTCATAACTTTTCTTCTGAAGTATTTTAAATGACAGAAAGCATGACACTATCATTAACACTTCCATATGTACCTCAAAAAATGATCGTTTTCTTACATAGCAAAATATTATCACACCTAATATAATGAAATTAATAATTCTTTTTAGCATTTAATTTGCAGTCTACATTCAGAAAAAGTTTCCCCTTGTATCCCCCAAATTCCCTTCACATCTCTATGTCCAAATCAGGATTAACTCCAGGACCACGTGCTGAATATGGGTAACATGCGACTCAAGTCTTTTCATTTGCAACAGTCCTTAAAAAACAAACAAGCCGAGGCCGGTTTGGCTCAGTGGATTGAGCGTCGGCCTGCGGACTGGAGGGTCCCGGGTTCGATTCCGGTGAAGGGCATGTGCCTGGGTTGCGGGCACATCCCCAGTGGGGGATGTGCAGGAGGCAGCTGATCGGTGTTTCTCTCTCATTGATGTTTCTGACTCTCTGTCTCTCTCCCTTCCTCTCTGTGGAAAATCAATAAAATATATTTAAAAAAAAAAAACAAAAAACAAACAAACAAACAAACAAACAAAAAACAAAACCAGCCTTTTAAAATGTCCTTGTTTTAATGACAAAGAGAACCAGGGCTAGTGTTTTGCAGTACATCCAGGTTTACCTCTTTCATCCTTGTGTATTATTAGCTTAATCCTTAATTCCTGTGAACTAGAAGTTAAATTTAAAGGTGTGATTAAAGTTTAACCTTTGAAAAAAACTGCATAGGAGGTGATGTTGGATACTTCATATTAAGATTTCAGGAGGAGACAATGTCTGGTTGCCCCAGTCATTGCTAATTTCTTGTGTTACTTTGAGTATAAAATTCTGCTTTAAAAGTGAGGGTAAAAAAAGGGGGGGGAGGGTAATTACATTTCTGGATTTTTCTTTTATTGTTTTCAGAAATATCTAGCTCTTCATCAACCTAGAACTTAAGAGTGGTAAGTAAAATATAGATTTGCTTTTTTCTTCTTACTGGCATCCGAGTATTTGTCTTAAGGATGGGGAGTGTCTGTCCCATGGGCCATATAAGGCCCTCGAAATCATTTGGTTTGGCCCTGCCAAGGCATTAGGGGTAAGTTAATTAAATGTTTGACCAAATATAGCAGGCTAATTCTTAATTTTATAATTTTGTATGGCCCTCGAATGATGTTATAAATATCCAAATGGCCATTGGCAGAAAAAAAGGTTCCCCACCCCTGAAAATTGGTGGGAGGCAGTGGAGGGGAGTGGTCTTGGTGGTTACACATGTTTACATTTGTCAAAACTCATGGAACCGTATGCTGGAAAGAGTAAATTTTACTGTAAGTTATGCTTCAGTAAACCTGATTTTTTAAAAATGAGCTTTCATTATTTTAATACTGGGCAAGAGCATAAATCAGACTTTCTATTTTCTTCACTGTTTATATGTTTTGAGTCCTACTATGAGAATTTCCTTTCAATCAACCACAGAAAATAGGTATGAAAATAATGAACTCACCAGTAAAGTTCACTTCGAATAGTCTTCGGAGGTGCTAAACTTTCATTACTTTAGCGTCTCCTAGTAATTTTTAGGTAGAAAACATTAAAAAGTAAAAACTCTTTTTTTAAATAAAAAAGGCTTTAATCTAGTGTCATTGTTT